GCAAACGGCGCCATGGCACATACATGACCACCACAACCTTTCCGATCACTCTCGCTCGGGACACACGTGCATTCTGCCATCCACGGCTGCACGAACGCGGCGGAAGAGAGCGTGCAGCACCCCTTCACGCGTCGTTGAAAGGCATGCTAACACCTGTGGATCCGCACGACAGGACAAGCGCAGCACACGACGACAAACGCATTCATATTTTGGTACCATCCAGCACGTTGGCTTTCGATTTTGACGGCCTCCCATGCATTCATCTATCGATGAAACGATCATGTGCTTCGTGTCCAACTGCTTCACACATTCTGGTACGTTGTAGCGTTATCGATCGGGGGGCATCGAGCATGTCGTCGACCGGTTTCCACGGGGGTGCGTGCAATCCCGCGGCAGAAGATGGGAGTGTCCCCCCTACGCCATCGACGACGCGGCGGCGAGGTTTCGTTTTCGAAACTGGCGAAGTTGATGCGCAATTTCCATCGATGTCGGTCGGTCGTCGGGGGCGTACGAAAGACATTGCTTGGCGAGGCCGAGGAGTAGCGCCGGAAACAACGACGAAAACGTCGGCTGGATCGTGCCATGCATGACGCGGCCCATGATGGCCGTGTCGTTGAGCGGGTTTCCTTTTTCGTTGACTTGGTCGCTGTACGGCAAAATGTGCATGTCGAGCTCGGCCAAGATCACGCCGAACGAGTAGATGTCGGCGGCATGGCTACGACGTACGCCAATCAACAACCCCGCGACCGGCGACGCTACGACTTTACCTGTAGTGGCTGTCGGTGAGGATCTCTGGCGCCATCCACCGGTACGTCCCGATGCCGATCGTCATCGTTTCCGACGTCGATTCGCGCGACACTCCAAAGTCCGTCAGTTTGGTGCCTTTCTCGCTGTCCAAGAGGACATTGCGCGACTTGATGTCGCGGTGGATGATTGTGGTGTCGAGCGTGTGCAAGTAAACGAGGCCCTCAATCACGCTCAGCGCGCAGTTCACCTTGTCTTCGAGCGCAAACGTGTCGGGTGTGGTCTTTTCCAAAATCGACCGCAAGTCGCCCTGATCCATGTACTCGAGCACGAGCATCATCTCGGCTTTTCGGAACCAGCTGACCCCGATAAACTTGACGATAAACTTGCAGTCGAGCCTAGTCACGTTCCCATCAGGTGCTGGCCACCCGCACGACCAACCGTACTTGGCCATGAGCACGATCTCGCCAACGAATTTCTTGAGCTCGTCGCTCGTCGACCGACTCGCCAGCAGCTTCTTGATCGCGACCGACGTGCCTCGGTACTCGCCATACCAGACTTCTCCATACGCCCCTGCAAACCACACACACAGCCGTGAACGACGCCGCGCTACAGGCATAGGCATGGCGCCGGACGCACCTCGCGACAGCATGGTGATCGTTTTGATGTGCGTCTCATCCAAGCGCCACATGTCGAGGGTGTCTTCGTCGGATTTGGTGATCTCGGACGCGACCGACGTGTCACCAAGGCTTCGCTCGTGGCCACTTTTCGACAGCACGGCGCGGTCTTGGCTGTGCCCAAGGCGGATGCTGTTGCTTTGACTGGAGGAAAAGTGCTGGCGCCGGGAGCTCGGCCTGCCCGACTGTCCGACGCGGGCGGCGCTGCCCATTCGAATCACGTCGTCGCTGCCGGCAGGTTGGTGCTTGTACGTGGGTGCGCTGCGATCAACAGAGCTCTGGTAGGTCGAGCCGTTGTACGACGACAGGCCCGACCGCTGGCTCGACAGCACCTGCACGTCTAGGGGCTGCTGCAAACTCGCACTGCCCAACTTGATATCTTCGCTGCGGAGCTTGATATCGTCGATAGGGCCGTTGAAGCCGCTGAATGCCGCCGACCCAGCATTCGATCGGGCACTACGCATTGGCGCTGGCACGTCGTACACGTTGTACGTGGCGGCACACACGTCGCCCCGTTCCAGGTAGACTTGGGTAAGTCGCCGTTGGGTCAAAATTCGCTCGTCTTTCTCCTGCTTTCGTCTCCTGCTTGTGCACAGCGCAAGGATCAACACAACGCAGAGCGCTCCGACACTGGCGACACCAATGACGTGGCTGGTGTCGCCCCCGCTTTCACGGGACACTGCAGTGGCCCTGACTGCCGACACACTGCCGCTCCAGACTGCCACGAGCCACACCGAGACAAGTTGACGGACCATCCTGGACCTCGCCTCCTCCTCCGACGACCTGCGGGTGAAAGTTTGGCCAGCTAAATCCAGCAATACTCGGCGCGATAGTAATTGGAGGCACCGCCTGCCACCCAGCTGGAACAGCCAGATCATCATGAGCCAGTGGAGAGTGGCCTGGTCCAAGCGTGTTCTCGACATTTCTCTCGACATTAATGTATGGTAAGAGTGAGTGTATGGCATGAGAGTGGCCTTGCATCTGCTTGAGGCCATCCAGGTGTCCCACGTGTTCAAGCAGACAAGGTCACGGGTCCTCGACCTTGCCTGCTTGGATAAGGGCAAGCGTCTCTGCGCATTCGTCCACGGGGGTGCTGCGTTTGCATGGAGGTGCAAGTGGGGGCTGCATCGTCCAGGCGCTGGCGAGTGAGGGTGTCGGCGGCGCTCGCTCGTCGCGTTGAAATCGCGTGTGTCGTGGTGTTGTAGGGAGCGATCTGAGATGCAATCCAACGATTCTCGTGGGCTGGCTCGAGACGCCCATCCATCGCAGGAGGCAGACAGGACGCCTTGGAGACGTCGTACGTGATTTCGTCGGGCTCAGAGATATAGAAGAAAAATGGCGCGGGCGAACGCGGCCGTGTCGGCGCCGCGTTGTATGGCGCGCTTGTCCCAAACGGGCCCCGCCCCATCCAGGCGTTCCCGTCACAACGTCGGTCCGTTTGAAACAGGCGGGCTGACACAGTCGACCACGGGCAGCGTTTGGTGGGAAGGTGGTGCTACAAAACGAATGTCCACGGAGTAGGGACCCAAGCAAGGGGGAAAAAGCGTTGTTCTCTGCATGCATCGTCGGCACCGACGCGATGACCGAATTCCCTATCACGCTGGAAACAACAGTGCGCCGGGCTCCACGTCGTAGCGCGTACAAGTCGTGGATCGTGTGCTGTCGACGCGACATTTTCGGAACAACCCCAATCCAACGGAGACAGTCCATGGTAGGACATTTCGCACATGTGAAATCTAGACAGGCGCGATGGGTAGAAATCTCAGTAGACACTTCGCACCTGTGAAATTTGAGCCGTCGGGTCTCGGCGTGGCAGCCAGCCATCCCTGTGAGAATCGGGGCAGAAGCCATCGGACCGAGCCTCTCGCTTCCCCCGACTCGAACGCATCGCCATCCTCTAGAGTACTCTACATCGTCCGATACACTGCGCAAGGTGTCGAGAGGGACAGCTACAGCGCATGGACTTCGACAGGACGGTTGTACGTGATCCAATTCGGCGACTGGGGGGCATGTCGGGCACTTCTTTCGCCATGTGACAGTTCTTCCATCGACGGCCGTGTGTGGGGGGTACGCTCGAGATAAGGTGAACGCTGGGTCCACCCCAGGCGCATTCCTGCTCGTCGGTTGGCCTGCCTAGCGTCCCATCAAGCTCCAAAACCGAGCGCTTTCGTTTTTGCAATCGATAAATGTTGAAGTAACCCAGACTGTTAGGCAGACAAGCTTAAACCAATATAGCCATCCAGCCTTCTTCTTCACATATGAACTCACGTCATAGAGTAGGGCGAGATGCTCGATGTCATCAGAGTTTTGCCGTAAGCAAGGGTTGGAGGAATTGGTGGTAGCCTGGCACGACGTCGGTCTGGTTGAGCGGCTCGGTCGCCGCCCGGGCAATCAACGCACGGTAAATGTCCCCGTCGTACCGCCCGATCGTCGAGTTCAGTTCAAAGTCCGACATGCCAAACCCGTCCACGAGCGCGATCGCATTCGGCCGCACGACGGCCAAAAGGGCCAGCAGCTCGTCCTGGACCCACGCTCCTTGGGCGCTCGACAAGTGATCGTCCATGCGAAACTCGCCCAAGTTGGCGTTCAAGCGCCAGAGACCGTACAACGTCCACAGCTGCAGCATCGCCGCTTGAAGACTCGCGTCCGCGATGGCGACGACGCCGTCGTAGAAGCACGCCAGTACAATCGACTCGGCGTGGGCCAGCGACGCCTGGGTCAAGTGATGCAGCGACGACTTGTGGGCGTCCGCGCGCAGGAGGAGCTGCAGCGCGCGCACTTGGAACGCGTCCAGCAACAGTTGGGGGTTGCGCACGTCCGACGACTGCC